TACTGCCAAACAGGCGCTTTTGCATCTCGTTTCGAAACTAAATCATCCGCGATCGTCTTGTCTGTCTCACCTCACCTCACTCTTCTTGTCAGTCAGCTCGACTCATGCACTCTCCTCACTGGATAAATTAAATCTGATCTGTGATGCGACTGTCATTCGGCACGCTGCATTGAGCAGCCGCGTTCAGTTTTTAATTATAGTGTCTGTTCTTTTACTGAACTAAATTATTTTTATTACTATAAAAAATGAAAACGACGGTGGGGGTCGGTGACGCGGTGGGCAAGTGACGTAACCGTTGTTGCGGCTTAACACCGGTATCACCGTCAGCACCGTCTATTGCGGCAAGCCTAGTGGCCGATATGACCAAAACCTGAAAATTGTTTAACGATAATGATATACATCACAATATAGTTATTTTTGTTATTAGAAGCAAAAATAACAACAATATAATAATATGAACAAAGAAGCAAATTACAAATACAATAGAAAAAAAAGTTATAAATGAAGTTATTCCAGTACAGTAGGTTTATTAACCTCAATTAATAAATGAATATTCAATAATTAAATGTAAAAATAAAACACTGCATAGTCTTCACTGTATGAATCAAATATAATTTGATTAAAGATACAGAAGTTATTGAAGAGCAGCAAGTGATTTTCTCTTTGTCTTTGATTAACATTAATGACACAGACAGCAGCAGGTTTATTGGGCTGCTGTCCCTTTAAGACCGAATGCACGGATTTAATATACTGAGTTTCCTGTCAACTGTTCATGTTCACTTCAGACATAACCAGCTGTTGAATGCTGTGAATACTACACACAATGGGCATTTTGACATAAATGTGTGTGTATTTGATCAACTCTTTTTGACATCATGCACGTCCCGCTCTTCATTTCCTCATTCATTTCTTTATCACTTTAAAGTGTCAATAACTAAGTAGCACTGTGCTAAACTAATATATTTACTAGGGCTGTCACAATTCCTCGGTTATAAAAAATCCTGGATTGCGTTTTGTGTCAATTAACCGGCAAAATACCGGAAGTGGCACATTTTCACGGATGAGAATCCATGAAATGCATTATTAGATCGTTTTCTAAGGCTGCACGAAATATTAAAACCATTTACAAATCATAATAAAGCATAGTGCTATTATGAATTCACAAAGGCTGTGATTCAATGAAATAAACATATGCGCTGTGGGTTTAACCTGTGCTTTATTTCTATGCGTGTCGGTCACGGCTCGGTTCACAGTAAACGCTGCTCCGCACAAACAGTCATCATTTACATACATCTCTGCATATGCTGTGAGTCTGAGTATAACGTTCATCTGAGAACATGTGCACCATTCTGTCAGATTTATAAGGCGGATCATTTAGAAACCTGCGCCAACACAGGAGAATACATCATTATTTTTCTAAATATGCGAACTGTTCATCGCGACTTCAAAACAAAAGTTTAACCCTCGCTCTGAGTTTGCATGTTCTGATGTCCACATATTCAAGAAATTACAGCGGCTGTATCATTTCCGTCATAATGAAGTGGCCAAATATTAAAGATTAAGAGGGCATTTGAATTAAATGTTGTTTAGTCAATATTGAACAAGGATTTTATCGTGCTGTAAAGTGTAAAAACAATCGTCAGGCCGTCGGCGCCTCTGCAGTCACTTGATATTATACATAAAGTACATAAGTTATGATTATATTGTTTTATTACATTATGCATTTTGTTCAATAAAACCATATGACTACTTGCTTTTGATATAGTTTATTTGAACCAATTATTATTGCCTCATTGCTATTATGCATGCATTTTCAGTCATTTTAAAGTATATTGTTCACTTATCCAAAAATTATCCGATTGCTCGATTAATAATCAGAATAATCAACTGATTACTCGATTACCAAAATAATAGTTAGTGACCCTGATATTTACATGTCACGACATAAATGATATTACAAAATCTCTAACGACAGACACTTTATATCATCACATTGATATATCATCATACCTCCCTATGTCATAATTAATTGTCTAGTAATAAATCACAAGAGTTAAAACTGAGTGTACCTGGTCTTAACGATGTCTACTGGCATGGAGGCAGCAGTGGTGACCAGTCCACTTTACTCGATTACCAAAATAATAGTTAGTGACCCTAATATTTACGTCACGACATAAATGATATTACAAAATCTCTAACGACAGACACTTTATATCATCACATTGATATATCATCATACCTCCCTATGTCATAATTAATTGTCTAGTAATAAATCACAAGAGTTAAAACTGAGTGTACCTGGTCTTAACGATGTCTACTGGCATGGAGGCAGCAGTGGTGACCAGTCCACTGATCATACTGGCACAGAAGTGACACAAGATATCATCTCTGAAATATCCTGTACAGACACAGAACATTGCAGCACATTTCAGTTTTCAACTCACTCATTCAGAAGAACACACACACAATGAAACGTCTGCACGTAACAGGGCACACAAATAAAAGCTAGCCTCCATCTGCATCTGGTATAGCTAGATTGTCTAGAAGGGCTGACACAATACAAGTTTGTGACTGATAAGATAAAAGAAGGTTGATACCAGAGTCCAACAGTGCTTGTTTGGACTGGGAATATGAAGCAAGTTGGGCTGCGTTCACAACGACTGCTCTGGCCATGGTGGGTATGCAACCCTACATTAACAATAAAACAAAACACACACATCATTACATATACAAAGGGTTTCTGCAGGTTTGATGAAGGTCAATTCAAGACTTTTTAAGACAAAGTGTTTAGTTGAGTAATATTAGCAACACTTAAAAGTCTGAAAATACAACTCTTGCTATAAATCTTCATTACTTTTTAAATTAATTTTACAAAAACAATAGCTTAAGCTTGGATAGCTCTGCTCACAAGCACCTTCTGAACAGTGCTTCCTTTTTTGTTCTCTTGTCTTGAAGTTCAAAGGTCTAAAGATTAATTTATCAAGATACTTGACAAACAACGTGACATAAGATATGAAGTCTTGTTTTCTGAGAAATTGAACAAAATGAAGTGAGTTTATGATTAAATCAGGAACAAATATCTGCTAAGTCATACCCCATTGACAGATATTTGTTCTTGTGTTAAGCATGAACTCAGTTAATTTCGTTTAGTTTCTCAAAAAACAAGACTTCATATCTTCATTTTGCATTTTAAGTAAATGTATTTTGATTTAAGGACGTTTAGATCTTTTTACTGGAAAACAAGACAAAAATACTGAAGGAAATGTAATTTTTTTTTAAGTGAATGCAACGTTTAATGCCATGACTTTATGAATTTAAGACTTCCGGCTCGGATTTAAGACCTTTTAAGGCCTTAATTTGTGCAAGGGTACATTAAGACCCTTTTAGGAACCGCAAAAACCCTGCATATAGTTTCTGAATAAGTCAAACATACAGAAAAAACTCAAGTAACAGTTAGGAACACATTGTCACATAAACAGTCATCAGGTTAGTTCCCTAATTTAAGCCTCTTGAACTTATGAGTCTGAAACTTAATTGTGAGTCTTTGACCATTTTTGACATTGATCTAGAACATCTAGAACAGACATAAGGCAAAATAATCACTAAGTAAAGGTGTAACAAAATGTCTCTAGAATAGACATATGGCA